AACAGAGGAATTTTTGGGAAGAGCCGTGAGGGAGAAGAAGGGAGCTTGATCCCGTGGGTGGGATCCCTCCCTTCGGATCTCAATCTGCTTTTTTTCCAGAAATTTCACCTTGTTTGATTCTGATTCTCATAGAGTTTTGCTTTATTAAAACTGTACTAGATGATGATACTGCTAATGAAATCAAGCATGCTCGTTGAATTTCATGGATCCGAATTGGAATGGATGTTTACTCTCTTTCTTTGTTCTGTTTTGTTGGATGGCCGAACAGAAAATCCAGATCCTTTCTGTTTTTGTCCAGATTTCATTTTGGTCTAGGTTTTAATCTGTTTTTGCCCACTTTGGTTGGTGGGTTCGTGTTTTTGGATGGATCAACTCGACCCAATCCAATAGAAAAAACACTAAAAAGGTTAAAAAGTAAAAAAAAAAATCAAAAGTTATCTCTTTTATTTCAATTTCGCACAATCTTTTCATGTTTAAGTACTTTAGTCCAAAAGTTTTAAATTTTTTCAAATCAGTCCTTTATTTTTATTTTAATCAAATCAGTCCATTTAAAATTTATTTGTGTTTATTGTGCATGCATGTTCTTGATTTTGTTTATTTCAATCCAAAAAAAAAAAAATGTTTTGATTCGGTTTATCTCTTTTTCAAGTTTGCTTATTAAAACTCAAACATAAATGTAATAAATAAGTTGAATTAAAACCCCAATTTTAAAGTATGCAACCGTGTTTAAACAGAGGATTGTAAGGTGCGCGTATGTCATTTTTCACTCCTAATCGAACTTCTGGACCTCGATCTCTGCGCAGACCTATTTTTAGGTGACTTGTCCCACTTTATAATTTGGATGAGTGGCGACTTCTTTCTTCTTATATATTTCACACTTGATTTTTTTCATTTATTTTGAAAAAATCTTTAAGTGGTCGTCAACAGAAAGAAGCAGAGATAGGTTGGAGAAACTGTAAATAAGAAAATTGGAAATGCAAGGCAATTGGATGTTCAGAGGCGGGAAAGGGTTATATAGCGAATATATTAGACAGAAATTTTGTCAGTAATGTTTTGAATTTCACGTGCCCGGGATTTCAATAAAAATATCTGTCGATAGAAAATATATTCGACAGAAATTCTGTCGATTATATTGAAATAAGATTGTCGAATATATTTTAATTTAAATTAGTCTAGAGATTTAATTTTTTGGGGGGGAATGGGTGGGTTTCAAGTATAATCGATAGTTATTGTGGCTATCGATTATACTTGCTATAATTGACAGAAATGGCTGTCGATTATAGTTAGTATA